TTTTATATTTTATGTTCTAAAATATGTTTACAGAAACAAATGGTGTTATCGCTACTATAAGCAAAGGTCAAACCGTTGTTACAGCCCTTCAAGAAGTTGGTTCTAATAATGTTAAAGGTGAACTCTCTGACGAAAAATTACAAGAGTCATATCTTCATGTCACATGGAGAAATGTGAGATCCTCAGATTCCGGGAAGTACTTCTGTGGAGCTCATGTCATTGGTTCTGACGGAAGAGCGGAGAGACTGAACGAGATAGTAACAGTTAAAGTTAAACTCCCAACATTTGAGGATTTGGTGAACGTAATACAGAAATTATTAATACAAGTTAATGATGACAGAGAAATTCTACACGATAATACACAAAATATAAAGAGCATTCAAAATGAATTGAGCAATAATCAAGACAATGTTATAAAAATTTACAAAGATTTAGATAATCATGAACAAAACTTTATAAGAATAAAAATAGATTTGGATTCAAATCAACAAAACATTAAAAACATTAACCAAGACTTGGATAATCAAAAACAAAATATCATCAGAATTAATACAGATTTGGATAGCAAAGAGCAACAATTTACAAGATTTAACACAGATTTGGATTCTAAACAACAAACTATTATCAGCATAAAACAAGACTTGGAAAGCAGTAAAAAAGACTTCAATGAGCATAGACAAAATATAAGCATCTTCAAAGACATGCTGGATACAGTCATCTTAAATAGGTCATCTTCATTGGCAGACGTCAAAGAAGAGCTAACCAAAGGTAACGCATACTTCTATGACAACAGCGAAAAATAAATTAGATGTTTTTTTATATTTATTTTTACATACATATTTCAAACATAATAGAGATTCACAGACAAGTTGACATGATATACAAATAATTTAATTTTTTTAATGCCAAAGAAAAGCTGACCAAACCAACCTCTCTTTTGATACCCTGCTAAGAACAGGTGCTAACTAGAAATGTTGAGGGATTTGGTTACAGATAACCCCTCCACCCCCCTTGCTACGAAGTTCATGGGATAGATATGAATTGGTTAATGGGGGGGGGGGGGGGGAAGCAAAGTAAAAAAATTGGCTTGGCTTCTGATACAAGAGGTCCGGGTTCGAATCTCGGTAAATAACTTGGATTTTTTAATTCGGGATTTGATTTCTACATAGCTCTAATTGGTATCTGACTTTTACACCATCAGCACTATAAATCGCAAGATTTGAAAAAAGAAGCTTTACTACGTATGTAAATGACCTATAACAGTGATACCCAACCTAATTCGACTTGCGGGCCATTTTAATTTCCGACACTCATATCACGGGCCACATGAAAGAAGGGTACAAAAAAAGAATAGACATTGAGCTGAAATGATTTTATTACAAATTCGTTGATCTAATACACTAATTAATGAGATATTTGAAGTTGTCAGAAAATGGCTTCATTTCTCTACTTCAAATAGATCTATGAGCAGCATTGTACCCAGCTTTACAACCGACTCATTGACTCATTGTCTTGTCGCTATTTCAAAATATCCCCATTAACCCCCACCATCTTGGCTTTAAAAAATGTAACAATCTTTTATTCGCGACTCAAACCAAGAAAGTCGTCAGATTCGTTTTACAAATGAAATATGTTGGCTTAATACCCACAAAAAAAAGTAAAATGAGTACACCCTTCCTGTTAGATTCTTGTTAGATTCTTAGATTCTACATTCAGAGTCCATTTCATAAACGTACAAATTTTAAAGGTCATTGACCAATCCATCAGAGAAAATGTTAGGGCCTTAGCGTAGTTTTTCTTTGGAAGGGGTGCGTTTCTACGCTTTGTGCCGACTTCTCGGCGGTCCGGAGTGAACCAAGTCGCGGGCCGGATATGTCCCACGGGCCGTATTTTGGGCATCACTGACCTATAACACACTGAAGCAACATGTGTTATATACAGATTTCAATCCGGGGCCCATAAAATAAGACATGTTGATTTTTAATTTTAAAAAGATAAAACCTACAAGTATGTATGTAAGTCAATTGAGATCTATGGGGTTTGGGATGTCATGTGTCCAGCAACGACCAACTTTAACTTCATCCTGACATTGAAAAAAAAAATGTCAACAGGATTTGGAAGCCAAGCGCTCTACCACTCAGCCACCGCAAATCTTGTCTACTGAAGAAGGATCTTACATTATTTGGAAAAAAATGTGTTCGATTACATTAGTATTAGACTATACATTTTTTTTAACACGACGCTCATAAGAGTCAATAGTCAGTGTTTTAAGATTATACCATGTAGAATATTTATGTTACACAATTAACAAACTAGTGTTTAAGAGGAAAGACATATTAGGAACTTCATTTATTACTTTAACTCAAGTGGTGCTATATTGACTCGCTAGTGTGCAAATCTACATATAATACAAATATGTTACATCCATCTTCTTTAAAATAGAAAATATATTAATCAGAATAACTAACAAACTAGTCAAATATTAAAGTCAATTCAGTTTAGTATAAATAAAATACCACAGGAATGTTAAAAAAATTACTGAAAAAAAAATGATTATATTAGTTAAAAAAACCGGTAGCAAAGATTACGATTACTGAGAAAAATATTCTCGTTTAATGTTAAGGAAATAATATTTGGCTGTTTTATCATGCTCACATCTGCAATATTTTAACTTCTAACATGGCTGCCTGGTATGGCAATGTGAACTTTAAAAATAAATATAAACTTCACAGAATCATAAATGCGTCTGGTAAAGTCATTGGCCAAAAAAAAACACCTTTTGTGCATGTGTTTGAGACAAACATCCTTAAATAAGGTAAAAAGATTCTAGAAATAAAAAAGAAGAGATTTTCTTTCGGGCATTGTTTCATTCTTAAAAAGCCGCTAGCGCATTTTGAAATACATGCACTGTTTTTTTACTTTGCTTCTTAGAAGGCCAGAGACTATGTTATTAAAAACATTCGATCTATTTACTATTTATAAATGAACGTAGAACTTGCATCTCATTTGTGTTAATGTTTCCAAGTTTGACACCTAGAAGTGGTTTAGGAATGTCAATGTGTAGAATGGGAACTAGAACTTATATAAAACATTTCTTGATACATTTGAAACTCCGTTAGCTCGCTTCATTTGGTTCATAAAAAAATTAAAAACTATCTTTTAATTATTTTGGAGTTCTGATTCAAATGTAATTATTTATTATTATTTATTATTATAAACATTATTGTACTTGTATTGGAGTGTCTTTTGGTAAATGTACTGATACATTTAGATTACTCAATTGTTTTGTCACACATTACATTCGTCTTATTGAGGTAATAAGGCCACTTGAACCCGGGCCAACTGTTACCTTGTTACGCCACTGATTCCTGCTCGAAGCTTACTTGTTTAGGCGCCACTTTCTCTCCGTTGTTCTTTTCTACTGTTACTAAAAAGGTTTCCGTAGGACTCAATATTTGAGCCACAAGTAAAGGCCAGGTAAAGTCTTTTATAGACGCATACTATTAGAAGCCATTTTGTAGGTAGTGTCCGGTAATAACAACCTGCGGAACCTTGTATTTCATAGACAATTATATTCGTGATACACGTTTCGAAACTTGCCTATTCACCTGCCGCATCAGTTTAGGTGATAACACTAATTCTTATTGTAATCATATTTTTTTTAACACATTTAGGAAGCATGACCTATTAAAATTCAAAATAATTTATTATGCATTTGTACTGTATTTTAACAGAAAGTTCTATTTTTTTAAATTTACACAGTAAACAAAAAGTTACAGGAGTCATGCAAGTGTCTACCTAAACCGACGTCATGTCGCCATATAGTCAGTACAAAAGACCGCGTTGTGGTGACATTAGCTTCCGGGCTAGAGGTCATGTGTGACACGAAGACAGACGGCGGTGGATGGACCATCTTTCAGAGAAGACTCAACGGAAAAGTAGATTTCTATAGAGGCTGGAAGGAGTATCGTGACGGCTTTGGAGATGACAGCATTGGTGAATTTTATCTGGGAAATGAAAATATTTTTAACTTAACTTCTACTGGACAATATGATTTGAGAATTGATTTAGAATTTAACAACACAAAATATTTTGCGCAGTACAAAGACTTTAAAATATTGAGTGAGACTGAGAAATATAAACTGAAGATAGGAAACTATTCAGGAAATGCTGGAGATGATTTATCTTATCATAACAACATGTACTTTAGTACTTTTGATAGAGATAACGATGTAAGGGACATAAACTGTGCAGAGAGAAGATCAGGTGCCTGGTGGTATAATAGTTGTCATAGTTCTAATCTAAATGGTCAATGGGGAGGTACATCAGATTCAAAGGGAATGAACTGGGAGAAACTAACTGGATACTCTAAGAGTGTTATTTTTAGTGAGATGAAAATAAGAGAAAGAGAGAAAAACTATTTTCATTAAGAAGAGCGAAGCATATCAACAAAGAAGTAGTTAGATATTTAAATAAAAACATCAACATAGTGACATAGTGTTTTAAATGGCGCGTGTTTCATTTACTATTTCCTAACTTTTTAAAAAGAAACAAAAAATATTTATTCTCATATAAAGATAGAAAGTCAGACAATACATATAGTGGTATAAATGCAAAGTAATTTTAAATATATGATAATAAATTGGACCCGACGTCTCTAGTATCTGAAGTGGATAATTATAAAAAAGATTTGTTGATTAAATCTTTTAGGAATATTGTATTAATTTTAATGTTAAGCCTTCTGTTTTGCAATTTAGAGTCTCAAAAACATATATCTAAAAGTTATTTAAAACACTTCACAGATATTAATACATTTTACTGGCATTAAGTTCTAAACAGTTTAATAAAAAATAATATATATGTATTTAATAAAATATATAATAAACCATAATATAATGGTATAAAAAATACCACTGGAAATGCTGCCTTCCTCACTCATCTTGTCACTCTAAGTCAAGCCTTATTATTATTAACCCTTACCCTCATTTAATACAATACATATATTATAGAGATAACAATTATATCATATGATCAATTCATAACCTGCTCGCTGCCAGCCTCCATCATACAGAGGGAGGATCTACTAGGAACTAGATTATCTTCAACTATCAAGGACTATCCGAAGCATGTCAAACACTTTACAATTACAATAAAACAGTTTTTACAACGCAAAATGAATCTTAGAGACATTATTTCTGTGGACAATCAAAACAAAATCACATCTTCAATATTTCTTGCATATAGGCGGATCCACAAGTTCTATTCAAATGGACTCTTATGAAAAATACATATGCCAAAATTTGAAACACATGACCTTATGAAGTGTCATGTGTACTAATAGAATCAAAGTTATAGGTAGAATATAGCATCAATAGATTCAATAAATGAGTAAATTACACTTGTATTGGATAATCAATCTTTCACATGCTAGTGTGTAAAAATATTAGTGTGTGATTTTTCAATAGAGTAAATTACACTTGTATTGGATAATCAATCTTTCACATGCTAGTGTGTAAAAATATTAGTGTGTGATTTTTCAATAGAGTAAATTACACTTGTATTGGATAATCAATCTTTCACATGCTGGTGTGTAAAAATATTAGTGTGTGATTACTATAGTTGTTGACTTATGTGTACAATATTGCTTAGCTACATTATTGATATTTTCTGATTTTAGTGTGATGGTGTTGTATCCTATTTTATAATAAATGAAATTATATGTTGTTCTGCCCTATGTGTGTTTTCAGTTTTAATGTTACTGTTTCGTGATGCGTTGTCCGGCCCGTTTGTAAATGATGGATAGTAATTATGTTCAGAGGTTGATGAGTTCATGAATGCTACATGTTCATGTCCATGGGTGTCGATAGTTGCGGCTGAGTTGTCATAGTTGGTAGGAAGCCTATAATTTCTGCAGTTGCTGTTACTTTGCCATCTGTTTGATGTATTTCTGTTGTATCTGTTGCGTTCGTAGCCTTCACGTCTGGATTGTCTATAATTGTTCTGAAAGTTGTTGTTGATATTGTATTGCTGTCTTCTTTGATAGTTCTGGAAGTTGTAGTTGTCGTTGTTGGTGTTGTATTGCCTTCTTCTGTCATTAGGGCTGTAGCTTTGGGTTGCTCTTGTATTTCTTCTGTTGTCATATCGATTGTTCTGTAATGTGCCACTTCTATACTGGAAATTACTTCTGTTGTCTGTTTTACACTGGCTCTGTATATGGCCACTTCTATACTGGAAATTACTTCTGTTGTCTGTTTTACACTGGCTCTGTATATGGCCACTTCTATACTGGAAATTACTTCTGTTGTCTGTTTTACACTGGCTTTGTATATGGCCACTTCTATACTGGAAATTACTTCTGTTGTCTGTTTTACACTGGCTCTGTTTATGGCCCCTTCTGCCGCAATTAAAGCAGGTTTTATTGTTGTTGCTGTACTTGCTTGAATCAGTGTTAATGGTGGCGGCTACTTGAAGGTCTCTTCTGTCGATGGTGTGGTTAGGATGGCTGTCCTTAAATAGGTTCAGGTCAGAGCAAGTAATTGGTCACTGAGCTTGACCCATGACCCATATGACCCATCAAGTTCTCGACCCAAACCCATCATGACCCATGACCCATTGAAACAAATTTTGGCAAAATAAAATATTGATTGGTCCCAAGGCGGCCATCTTGGATACCGGAGGGTAACTTAAGACCAAAATGCACAGTTTGTGTATCAACATCCCTGTAAACTTTAAATCCCATTTTTCTCAAAATAAATTTTTCATGACACACACAATCTTGTTTTTTTATTTTTCTAGAAATCTAGTTGTCCAATTGTTTTGTTATTGCATATATGTGTTCAAATATATCTATACTACATAGTAACAGAGCGAAATTTTAAAATTAAGTCGAGAAATTGAGATATTAGCAGATTATGAACACATTTAACTTTAATTTTCTATACAAATGTATGGAAGGGCACGTATTGTTTTTGTCGCAAATAAAAAAAAATCGCGCAACTACGGGTTTTTTTTCAGAGTCAGGCGGAAACTAAGGATGGGTCGTGGGTCAGGGAGCATTGACACATTACCCATTTGACCCATCAATTTTGCGACCCATTGACCCATAACCTATTGACCCATTACTTGCTCTGGTTCAGGTTAGTTATGAGCTCTGTTTCGTTTCTTATCTTCTTTTCTTCCATGAAAGTGAAAACATTGTCTGTAACATTCAACAGCAAACTATCGATCACAAACATATCAATGATTTCGTCTGCTTTCTTCATATCACAGTTGGAGAGTTCAAGCCACTTTAAGATATTTTTTTTTTAATTTCAAAGATAATTCTGTTATAATCACCGTTCTTTTGTAATTTAATATCTCAAAATAGCTTCCTGTAGTGGTCCTCGGATTAGCCAAAGTGCTCAAGGAGTCTGTTCTTCACAGCCTTGTAGTCAAGTCTTTTGTTCGGATGTCAGGGTAGCTATTATATTAAAACCCGTTTTATCCCACCGTCCTTTTAAAAGTACGCTGCTAAACAATTTTTTGGTTTGAACAGGGAACCAGCTTCTTTGTTTTATAAACTACTTCCGGTTATAACATAAACAAATCTAAATATTAAAAAACAAATTACGTTTTAATTATTTTTTGATTTTGTCCAGGACGTTTTGCAAAATCATTGATTTCAATTTTTTTTAAATGTCTTCATATCGTCGGAAAAGGTGTTTATTATTTTCAGTTAAAATTTACGATAAAATTAAATATCCTGATATAAACTACACATACTGCCTACAATTAAAATAAAATTAGTAAGATGTTTGTATGCACTGGCTTTTCCAGGAAAGCTTTGCAATCTTTCTGTCCTTTTAAAAGGACGATGGGAATGAATGGGTACAGGTTTTTTTACATGTAAGAAAATTTTTTTTTCTTACACAATTTTTCTATAATATATAAAAAATAACATTCCATTCTTGTCCATTAATGTTTATTCTTTTATCTATTCGTTTCGGCTTCAAACTGTGGGCACTGACCACATCAACTGCTTATCTTATTCAGGCCGTGCCATATCAAGGTGCTTCAACAGGAAAGACTATACCAGAACTTGGAATGGGTGGTTCCGTTGTCATGGATCTCATCAGTGAGTTACCTCGATCCACAAAGTACAACCTGTATTTTGATAACCTTTTCATTTCACTGTCTCTGATGGATCGTCTTACAAAAGAAGGTTTTGGTGCAACAGGCACACTCAGAAGCATCCGCACAGAAAAAGCATCAAAAAGTAATGTCAAAAAAAGTTCGTGGTTCATTTGATTACATGCAGGATAAATTGTCAGGTTGTCTGATGGTTCGATGGCACGATAACAGCGTGGTAACGGTTTTATCTAACTGCCACAGTATCAAGCCTATTGGTAATGCAAAACGATGGTCAAATAAAGAAAAAAAATCTATCCTTGTTGATCAACCAAATGTAATATCTCAATATAATCGCTACATGGGAGGTGTAGATCGACTAGACCAGGATATTGCTACTTACCGGATCTCAATCAGGTCAAAGAAGTGGTGGTGGCCGGTGGTCTCTTTCTTACTAAGTGCATCAGTAAACATTGCTTGGATGCTTTACAGACTTTCTCCAAGTTACGCATCACAAAAACTAGATCTTTTGGAATTTACTCGACGAATCGCGAATTGTTACCTTCAACGTGACCGTTCACATCACACGCTCCCTTCTCTAGCCACTGGTCAAATTCTACCTGAAGTAAGATTTGATGGTGTACAACACATCATCGAATCCATACCAAAACAACGACGCTGTGGCGAATGTGGAAAAAAAGTTAAGAGGCAATGCATGAAATGTCATGTTGCACTACATGTGGACTGTTTCGCAAGATATCATTCTAAGTGAACTGGACAGCTCTATTTTTATATATAAAACTGAATACGTACATTGTATAAATTTGTTTAACTGTGTATTTTGAATATTTTGACAAAGTAATAACTTTTAAAACATATAACGTCCGTTAATATATTTATGTTATTGATATGTATTTTTGGTACTGTATGTGCCCACCGTCCTTTTAAAAGGACTTATATGTATCTCCTAAACTTTAAAAAAAAAAAAATTTTTTTTGATATCTATGTTCATTTGACATAAATAATATAACACAAAACAATTTTCATCATTGTTCCTTGACTTTTAGTGGGGTTGGGCATTAACGGGTTAAGCGGTTCACCTGCAAGATTGGCGAGTAGATGCTTAGCCATATCTTTAGGAGACATGTCATACGTTGAGGCAATGGGCTCGAATTGCACAATGTAGATTTCCAGAGTTTCATTTTTCTCGTTGAATTTGTGGAAATTTCGAGACGTATGGCTTGGCTAGCTGTGTCTGTGGTAGTAATATGTTGGGATTCACCTTTGCAGCTTCCAGTTAAGCTAACTCAACTTTTTCCTCTTGCGCCTTCATTTCTTTCTCTATTTCTTTCTGTCTCGTCTCCAGTTCTTTCACATCTTTCTCTGCAGCTCGTTCATTTCGTTACCGTTCGGCTTTCTCCTTTTGGTCCACTTTGTCTATTTCTCTTTCAATCAATTCTCTTTTCGTCTCACCCACATAACATCCTTGTTCACCTGGTATTAGTTTGGAAAAGGGAAGCGGTTGGTAGTTAGGCTTGCCACACAACATTCTCGTGAACCTGGCATTGGTTTAGGATAGAAGAGCGGTAGCAAGTAGGATTGGCAACATATCATCCTCATTAATCTGGCATCAGTTTTTGAAAAGTAAAGCAAATGGTAGTTGGTCTGGCCATTTAACACCCTCGTTAAGATGTCGTTAGTTTGGTTTGTTATTGGTCTGGCCATCCTTGTTAACCTGGCATTACTTTAGGAAATTGAATCGATTGCTAGTTGGGCTAGTTTTTTGGCACACATTTTGAAAAAGTGTCTCCCATATGAAATATTCATAGTATGTGGCTTAGCTTAGATATTGTAATTTGTTTTCAAATATATATACATACGTATATATATATATATATTAAAATAAATAAGATAACTTTTATTGATCCAATCAAATGGAAATTTAGTTTGACTATAATTGACAACCTCAGCGTAACTACTGTACAATAATAACATAGATGCACTATATAGATGCACATACGAACGACATTCACACACGAAAAATAGACACACTCACAACCAGCGCTCGACAAATAGACTTCTATGTACTTTTCGATGACGACATAATGTTAGTTTTTTAAGTTGGTCATCCAGGGTCTTTTATTACCGAATGTTTTAATTTTCTTCTTTGGTACAATCATGTTTTAACAGAACTGGATGTACGGTACAACAGTTGTGGTAAGTTCATCTGTCTGGGCAGTTGTTTACAAGCATGTCCCCAGGGCCGCCGCGAGGGTTGTAGCCGCCTGCGTGCGGAATTAAAAAATGCGGGACACTTTACATGTATTTTTTGTAGACCATTCCATTTAACCGTAGGCCACAGAATCAGATGACCTTTACACC